CCTCCCAGGTGGTCCGGACCAACCAATGCGCCGGCGAGTTCGTCATCACCTTCCCCCGCGCCTACCACAGCGGCTTCAACCAGGGCTACAACTTCGCCGAGGCCGTCAACTTCTGCACCGCCGACTGGGTGAGCTCTGGGAGGACACAAAATGTACTTGGGGGGGCTTAAAGTGTACTCGGAGGGCACAAAAATATACCTGGGAAGCACAGAATGTACCTGGGGGGCATGGAATGTTTGGGTGAATAAAAAAAAAAATTTGAGGGAATGCAAAAAAAAAACTTCCTTGGGAAACAGTGAAATTTGTGGAAACTGTAAAAGGTCAACAGGAGAGCCCAATGTTTAGGGGGGCACAGGAAATACCTGGGGAGCACAAAATGTACCTGGGGGTTGCAGAAATATGTGAGGGAATAAAAAAAAAAACTGGGGGAATATAAAAGAAAGCTTTAAGGGAAACACCGAAATTTGCAGGTGAAGGCTGTAAAATAATGCAGGGAACCAAAAAAAACTAAAAAGAATCCCCAGGAACTCCAGGCTGTGGTTTCCTGGGTTTGGGGGTTCAGCCTGGGAGTTCCCAGCTGGGTTTAGGGCTGAGTTTGGGGGGTGCCCCAGGTTTTGGGGAGCCCCCTGACCCCCCTCCCCAGCTGCCTGTGGGCAGCCAGTGCATTGAGCACTGCCCGGTTCAGGGGAACAGTGGGGTTCCCAGGTTTGGGGCTTCAGCCCCGCAATTTAGGGCTGAGTTTGGGGGGGTCCAGGGCATTCCCCAGGTTTGGGGTTTGGGTTGTGTTTTCCTGGCTGGGTTTAGGGTTGTGTTTAGGGGGTTCCTCAGGTTTTGGGTTTGTGTTGTGTTCCCTGGCTGTGTTCAGGGCTGTCTTTAGCGGGTTCCCTAGGTTTGGGGGTTTTGGTTGTGTTCCCTGGCTAGATTCAGGGCTGTGTTTAGGGTGTTCCCCAGGTTTGGGGTCTGGGTTCAGGGCTGTGTTTAGGAGATCCATGGGGTTCCCAGGTTTGGGGTTTCTGTTGTGTTTCCTGGCTGGGTTCAGGGCTGTGTTTAAGGGGTTCCCCAGGTTTGGGGTTTGTGTTGTATTCCCTGGCTGGGTTCAGGGCTTTGTTTAAGGGGTTCCCTAGGTTTGGGGGTTTGTGTTACGTTCCCTGGCTGGATTCAGGGCTGTATTTAGGGGGTTCCCCCGGTTTTGGGGAGCCCCCTGACCCCCCTCGCCAGCTGCCCGCGGGCAGGCAGTGCATTGAGCACTACCGGCGCCTTCGCCGCTACTGCGTGTTCTCGCACGAGGAGCTCATCTGCAAGATGGCAGCGAGCCCCGAGAAGCTGGACCTGAACCTGGCAGCTGCTGTGCACAAGGAGATGTTCGTGCTCGTGCAGGAGGAGCGCAAGCTGCGCAAGGCCC